AAGAAGACACAAAAATTCTGTGCTTTATGATCGAAGAAGACACAAAAATTCTGTGCTTTATGATCTAAGAAGACACAAAAATTCTGTGCTTTATGATCTAAGAATTAAACAAAATATGTGCTTAACTATCTTGATTATTCGAATTAACAGGTTACAGTCTAAGAATTAAACAAAATATGTTCTTAACTATCTTGATTATTCGAATTAACAGGTTTAATTAATTTTGAAATGACATCTGCCTTTATTCCTTTATCTGACAAAAAAAGGGAATTACGACCTGAATTCAAAGCAGCAACAAACGCAAAAGCGTTGGTACTGTCAAAATCTACAACGGTAGCCCCTTCTTTAGATAAATAGGTCACCAACCATTCGTATGCTTCCAATGGTAAATGTATTTCTCTGTCACCGTTTATTTCTATGACATTCGCGTTGACTCCAGTTATGTGTTCCTCGGACAGTGTATTTGACACTGACCAGTGTCCAATTAGAAAAGACGTTAGGACATTGTGAAGAACTGATCCTATGAATAAATAATAATAGAGAAATAATTTAAGTTATGCGTATACATTTTGTTAATAATTCAAAGGACGTTATTCTCCCAGCCTATAGCTTAAAATACAAACTACAGATAATAGCTACTTAAATTAAGCACCAAATGTTTCAATAATTTGTCTTTTTGTATATAATTACCATTACAATTATTCTTTTGTTTTTTGAAGAAATGACCAGTCTGGATTTCAAACGCACCCTCTTTTTTCAGTACATCCTTTACGGTGCTAATATCTTTTATGTCAACAAATAGCACAATATTGAAAAATGTTAGCTTCGTGAAGTTCAGGCGAGAAACTGCCTTCACTACATCTTGAGCAATCTAAAAAAAATACAGTAATCCTTTCAAACATGTCTAAAAATATTAAGTAGAAACTAGTTCCAGTCTGTATTGTGGTTGTTTAAGCCTCTAAGTTCCTTACTCAATAACTTTGAGTTAATCACCGCATGCTGCCCATACAACAGTACGGCTGTAAATAAAAAAAGAAAAAATGGAATAACTACCTCTTTATTTTCTGTCACGTTTGCTATTGTGAGGAATGCTCCATCATAGTTAGGAAGTTTTGAGGCAGCCTCCTGATTTACATCTTGTACATTCAGGTTAAGGGCAATTCCTTTGGTTCCTTGCTGGCCATCAAAAATGTCCAATGCTGTAACTTCATCAGAACTTAGCATGTTTTTCAAATGCCTTAGGTAATTTTGAAATGAGTGTGATGCTTCAAATGCCTTAACCTATCAAACAAGAAAAGATATGAGAGTCAATACACTTATATTTCTTTCTTTCATAAATTCAATGTTTCTGTTGAATCAAAGTCTCTTAACCACTTATGATACTGCCAAACAATATAAGGCAGAAAAGGTAAGCCTACTTTGAAGACATTTGTCATATTGTCTTCAAAGAACCACAACTGTTTCTGTGAACACATGCTTCTTACAACTTGTGTGTTGCAATGCATTCTTACTTACAGCATGTCGTAATAACTTGTCCACTGAGACGCCATCGCCAAACTTTGTCTCTGCCTCATCCCATCTCTCCATCTTGAAGAAGTTAACGATGGCCTCCTGCACAGGTTTTACTAATTTTATCTGTTTTCCTGCTACATTCATCTCTTCAAGACTCATCTCTATATTGACAACCTGATTAAAAAGGCAATTACTCTTTTTTTTTTTACTGCTTGTTTTTAAAGTAATGGCAATTACTGTTTCTGGGAAAGGATGATGATTCCTCATCTCAGTAGGAACTAAGGCTTTGTGTACTTCATTTTCAAAGGAAGAGTTGGAAAGCATCTCCATAAAGTCCATTAGAGTCAATTTCATATCATGAGTGGGAAACTGACGGTACTGTACTGTGACCGTAATCGTACTGTAACCAAATTCTAGTGTCTCATTGCTTCACAAAAATTGTGCAGGCCAGGTCCGGTAACTGTGCGGTAATTTCTACCGTACATTTCCAATTCATACGAAATTGACTCTAACTACATAAAGAATAACTGTGTAGTACATTAAAAATAATCCTTACAGCAACAATTATATAAAAAAACAAAATGCGTAGATTTTATTTGGTCCAAAATTGTATACCTTTTGTAACAAAAATGCCCTGTCTTCATTCCCAAGGCTGCATAATTCTTTCAGTTGCCACTGCTTTAACAGTGGTTTCCCTTTCACAATTTCTGAATTTTTAATCTTTTGGTCCTTGAGCTGGCCATTCTCATATTTCTGGTTCACTGTTAGAAAATGCCCCCATACAACACCACTACTTTGAGCCATCGTAAACACTTCACTCAGGTTTCTCTTCTGAAATTGAAAGAATAAATAATTACATAAACCATTTTACACTTAGTCATAACAAAAATTAATGTGATTCTTGAAAATCAAAGATTACAGTTAAATAATTAGAACATTAGGCTATGCATATGTAATATAAAAACTCACAGGCTTGTTTAAGAGACTTGAGCACATATCTCTCCATGTATCACTTGGCTTTGGTGGTTCCCCTGATGGATCAACTCCAGTTGTTTGATACAGCTGTGTACGACATATTTCTACCTATAATTATTACAAAAAAAGACAAATTAATAAACAGTTTTGATACACCACAGGCATCAATTTCATATTGTTTTTTCAATAATATTGAGAATGAAAATAATGAAAATAGTTTGAGGATAGATAACAATTTACCTCATCTTTGTATGAAAGACCATGACGGCATGAACCAGTATTATTGTGCATTGCACCTAACCATCGAGCTTCCTCATCTTTTAAGCCGATGTAAATTCTTGCAATACGTCCTTTATAGTATTTGTTTGTTGGAGATTCTTGATTAAGATGCTTTGTTGCCAATGTCAGGTGTGTGCCCCCAAGCACTTCATATTGATACTCACCTAACTTGGTTTTATCAAAATGTTCCTTTGTATCAACATCCTTGACAAGTACAAATAATGGTTCATAGTTTCCCTCAGGATGGTCTTTAAGACTTGTCTTTAATGAGGAAACAAAGCCTTCATCAACTTCTCTTATTTGTCTTTCCTTGGGAGGAATAACGAATTTGTCAATTGGAATAAAGTGTGTTGAATCTGTAAAAAAGGAAATTTTATGCTGTTAGCATAATGTTGTGCATGACATGTTTTAAAAATTACAGTCCAAACACTCAACACATGTTTATTAACTGAACGCAATAATCACAGATAATTGAAACATTCATAACCATCCCCAACTTTTAGTTTGATGAACCTTTATCTTGAGTTAAAAGCTATTGCCCCGTGTTTGACTGGGAATAACAATAGTAACAACAACAACAACAATAATAATGAAATTGGTTACTGACTTCATCAAATATTATTGAGTTTTAGGAAGGTAGAAAATGAATTGGTTGGTAACTGGTGATCTGCCAAGGCACCATAGCTATTTATTTAGAAAACTTTAGAACCATTCTTACCATCTAATCTGCACTCATTACATCGAACTTGAATATTCTTCACATATTGGCTTGTAGAGGTTGTTTCTTTCTTTTTTTTCTTTGATGTAGACTGATCAACTGAATAAGTACGAGAGAGTGATCTTTTTCTTTGAGTTTCTGGTGTTCTCTGACTGGATGTAGCATTCGTTCTTGCTGTGGAGGTACTGTTTATTGAAAGTTTATCAGCTGCAGTTGTGATCTGCTCTGCCAGTTCTTTAGGATCTTTTGTATCGATCTTTTGGAAGTCATCATCTGATCCAAACCTGTTAAAATACTGAGGGTTTATTCCGTTTACAAACTGTATATTCTCCTTTCCTCCATTGATATTGATATAGTCAAACTCAATCTGAAATAAAACAAAAAACTTCAGGATTATTACTGTCACTTATTAAAACAAACTTTATAAACCTCTACAAATGGTTCTTGACAAAAAAAAAACGTCAAGAAAATGCTCTTCTACGTTAGATACCTTCAGTAAAGTTTTAATCTTGTCTCGTCTCACATTAGTTTCTACAGCTGTAGCAGCAACTATGTGTCTAGCTCCCTGTAACTTTTTGCCTCCTTTAAACAAATAGGCTTTGTTGGATTCTATCTTAATGCACCAAAGTTTCTCAGATCTAGACATGGTTGATCTCAAAAAGTCTTAAAGCAGTCTAAAAACATCAAGGACTATCACGAAGTGTTGACCCGCAGTTGCTGGTTGTATGGTGCTTTTGTTTTACAATTAAGTAGTGCTTAGTCTTTTGTGATTGCTGCAGCAGCATTTCCAAAGCATAATTAGCATTGTTTCCGTGCAGATTCCTGTTGTTTCAGCAAAAAGACCGCCATAACAGAAAGGTGATAACTAATCAAACATATAAGTTATTAAGTTTAACTAAGCTTATCACAGTAGCCTCTGACTGCTATACAGAATTCTACATCAACATTGTCAGAGGAAAGTTTTGTGATTGAAAATTTTCATTCAAATAGCAATATTACAAGTTGGTTTGACAGCTAAGACCAAACAAGGCTCAGATAAAAGTTAAGCTTATAAGAAATTTAAGCTTACCGAAGCAAAGCGACTTAAGAGTTCGCCGCAGCCTTCTTTGGTAAAACCGCCTTACACTAACACCGGGAAAATACCTATTCAATATAACTTACAATAGTCTAATAAACTAACAAAAAAGACAACACTTACCGGCGGCACACACAACGCAGCTATTCAATCGGCACTTCAAAATGGCGGTTCTTCTGTTGCAAACTTAGTTCGTTGATTGGCCCATTTGATCACGTGATCACTTCCTGTGCCGATTCGCGCCAACTTCGCACTCTCTGTAAACATTTCCGGCCAGTTCAGTATGAAGTGAGTGAAGTCATTTTGTAAGCTTGACAGTCTCTGAAGTCTAAGGTTTCAGATTATTACAAAATGAATCTTTCTGAAGATTTAACATATAACGATGAATTTTTGAATCCTACCAAGCATCTGTCAACCAGTACACCCCTGAAAGGCCAAACTTTAAACTGGGCGGAGAGTGATTCGGATGCGAGTTGGCAGTCAACACCATCGAAGGTGGCTCGAACCGTGAATTTCCAAGACATCGACAGTAGTAGCAATCTGAGTAGCAACAGCGGTTTTTCTGATCGTGCGCCGGTGTCCGTATTTTTATATGAAAGTACGAGTACCGAAAACGATGAATCTGTGCTGGAAGGAATGCCCGATTACTCTGGCCACGAATGTATTGCCGACACCTCGAATGAAGAAGGTAAGAAGCTTACTCTATGCAATCATTCTTAGATGTATGACTTTTATTAAGTATGTTGTAAGACTCTTTTAGCTTGTGAAACAGACAAATTTATAATAATGTTATTTGAAAATCTTTGAGCAATACAACGTCATATACCCGCGCGGCTACACGTGCGATCACAGCGACGCGATTTTTGGTTACGATGAAAAATTTGAGCTGTTTTTGTATATATACCTCTTTATGGAGATTGAAATCAGTATTTGCGAGGATTTTTTTCAACGAAACAGCATTGTCGCTCATGTAGGCACATCGTGTGCTGGTGATTTTGAGAAAATCGCGTCACCTGCGCAAAAATCGTGTAGCCGTAGCTTATAACAATGCGAATTGCGCATGTTTAGCAGCCTTGTTACTAACGTCTTCACTCACTTATGCTTTGCAATGAATTGTATAGATGGAATATTAAATCATGATGAGTCTGATGATTATGGTACAAATGATGTCGATACCTTAGTAAACTTAAGCAGAACCTCTGATGAACAAGGTATGTAAATAACATTTAGCCCTTTCTTATGACTGTAATAAGCTTAAGCTTGAGATTTGTTTGTTTGTATCATCTCTAATGAATTTCGATAAATTGTTTGACATTTGATAACATACAAAATGACATTCTAGTATTAATAGAATGACATGTAATTATTTGTATTTTGCTAGATGGATCTGTGATTGATGATGGTCTTTTTGATATGACAAAAGACAACACTGTTACATCCACAAATCATTCCTCTAACACACAAGCTGAAAAAATTTAAGTGTGTATTTTAGCGATATATATTTAACATGCACTTTTCACAAACTGTAATTTTTGAATGACACATTTTTTGTTATCAGGGATAACTGTAGTCCATGAAAATTCGACAGAAAAAGTGTTAAAAAGGCCCCGAGGTGAGAACAATATATAATAATATAATGTATGACAGAGGGTTTGGGAGAGTTGATTTCATATAACTGGCAAACTGATTGCAACATGACCATTATTCATTTGATGATATTAAAGTATTTTTTCGTAATGTTAAATAAACCGGCAGTAATGTTTTATAAGGTTTAAATTAACTGCAGAGGCTTCTTTTTGAGTAATACATGGATCCTTTTTATCAAACAAAGGTCATCCACATTGTTTTATATATATAGAATACTAATGAGGGTACATTTATCAGGTATTGTGGTCGACCATGCATGTCAGCAAATAGACTGACTGGTCTCCAATTGATTTTTGAATAATCATTAAAAAACTCATACATAATTAATGACCTACTAGGCCAATAGAATAAGCCTATTTGGTCACATGCATGGACCTTTATATCTGATAAAACACTCCTTATTAGTATATAAAGAATACTAATAAGGGTGACCTTTATCAGATATAAAGGTCCATGACCCTAGCAAAGGTCTCAGGTTTGAAACCTGATCATTGACCAATGGAGGATGTCAACCGATTTCATTGAACAGCCAAGAGAGGTTCTATTTTACTTTATGCGTATTCAATGTGTGTGTAAAGTGATTCGCGCATGATCAGTTTGCCCCATTTATCTCTGAATATATTTGTACGGCAATTTCTCCAAGAATTTTAACGGATTTGAGTTTCAAATTAGTGTTGGAGTTTTTTAAGCCGTTTAAAACACTCGAGATCGTGTTTTATCAGGCTCGAATCTTTATACCTGATAAAACACGATCTCGAGTGTTTTAAACTATACACAAAAATTAAGTGGCTTTCCATAGGGGCTCAATTAGTCAAACAACCAAATGAATATGCTGCTTAGACAAATTAAAGTATTGACGCTTACATTTTATTCCTTTGCCGCAAAAAATGTGAAGTAATAACAATTATGCATAATTTTGTCAAGATAAGATCATTAGAATTTAAAGAAAATGTCCAAAATTCTTTATTTCATTTCTTTTCGTTGGCGTTTGATATATGACTTTTTTGTTTTTAAAATTAATTTTTGTGTTCCAGATACCCTTCAAAGAACTTGCATAGCAGATATTCAAGGCAAAATGATTTTTCTAGATTTGAAAAAAAACAAACATACACCTACTGTTATTGAATGGTTTTCAGCATTAGGATCATCCATATCGCAATTTTTGAATAAACAAGTAGATATTATAATTTCTGACAAACATTCGCAATATGAAAATCTGAAAAAATCTAGTGATAAAGTAAATATGATTTCAAATAGAAGTACTTCACTACTTACACTGGCAAAGACAAAAACGAACAAAGGATCATCATCAGTGTACAACATTGCCACCAAATGGAATATCAAAATCATAAAATTATCAGATATATTTCTACTAATGAGAATTAACCCTGTTAAAAAGAAAAAAGAATTAGATAACACACATGTTAGAGCTCTTAAGGCACCTTTCATAAAAGTTGAAGATCAGTCTAGGCTATACAGACCAGAATTTGCAGAATTTAGAGTATTTCCTTATCTAGACTTTGAAACTGCTGGTTCATCTTCACCATTTGATAAATGGTTTAATGAAGAGAACTGTAATTTGTAATTTTTTGGTGATTTTAATAACATGAGCATTAAAATCTTTAAAATTTTTACAGTCACTGTGAGTAATGAATGATTTTATCCATTATGATATACCTGATAGAACATTTTCAAGTAAAAGTCCTTTTAGATACAAATGACTTGGGTGGATACTTTTTATCTCAAAATGGGTCTCAAGATTCCAGTAAGAGAACACAAAATATTAGCACAAAATATCTTATGAAAGCAATCACACAAAAAATATAATTACACGAAAAAAAATAATTTTCAACATGCTGGTTGATGTGTTATAAACACATTTTGCATTATACTCTTTTAATAAGTCCCAAGATTGTGTTCTCTGTTTTTGCCATCAAATTTATTCTATTTTCTGCTTTTCTAATTTATTATATGCATGGTGAATGATTCAAAAGAGTAAATTTTACATGAAATACAGAAAATATTACTCATAAAATTTGTGTACGATAGACTTTACTACACATACTAAAGTTTAATGACCACTAGAAAAATGTAGTTTGATATATAAAATATGTACATAATTATTTCTTTCACTAGATATCACAATTAGAAGTGATGAAGAGCTGTTATGGGTACTGAATATACATTGTTGCCAAGAGAGATGTCTAAGACAAGTTTCAATTGGGGACATCAACAAAATAGAGGTTTATTTGAAAGAGAAGTCACAAACTGCAAAAAGGAACTTTTTGCTTGACTATCTGCACCAACACAGTAAACTGAATGATTCAGGGGAATATGAGGTTCAGTTCATTATCAAGGGGAAGCCAGTTTGTCGTGAATCATGGTTACTTGTTAATAATTTGCCTAAAAGCTCATTTAGAAGACTGATGAATCAACTTAAGGATGGCTGTGTTCAAGTGGAGCATGGGAACAAAGGAAAAAGGGCAGTAAGTGACAGAACAGGGCAATGTATTGCATGGCTGGAATACTTCTTCAAGACTATTGGTGACTTTCAGCCTACAAGCCAAGCAATTCATCTACCATCGTGTTTCAGTAAAATCGATATATACAAGAAAATGCTGGAGGAAAACACTACATTCCAACAACCAACAGTGTGTCTGTCACAGTTTTACAAGATCTGGGAGAAACACTTCAGCCATGTAACAATACCAAAGGTACATTTAGCTGTTTATCTAGAATATGTGCATTTTCAAAATATCAATTAAAATGATAAATTGTATGATATCTGCACTTTATATTTCTTTAAAAATAAGCAGAGAAAATATTTGTCTTGCTGCTCTAAGTTCTCTACATCTCCCAGCAATGATGCTTTTATCATGAAGTACATACTCAAATGTGGTTGTTTTTCATAACTTATATTAAATTTTGTGTATGTACTCACCATAGGAAAATCGATTCACCAAGTGTACTGAGTGCACTAGGTTCAAGAATCTCAAGGAAAAAAATCCATCTATCCGTTCTCAAGTTGACAAGGAGCTTAATGAACACCTTGATTTAGTGTGGTAAGTCTTTAAAAGTACTTGATCAGATGCAAAATGTTTGTACCTCTTAACACTTAAAAAACTAATCAATTTTGGATTTTGTTGATTTTTTGTAATTCAATATATGGTATATTATCTGTAGGCAAGAACGTCGAGTGTATTACCTGCACAGATATAAAGCAAGGAAATTTCCGCACAAGTATTTAGCAGTCATCGATGATGGGATGGACCAACAGACAACGAACCTGCCCAATGTCAGGAGGATGAGTAAAGCTTTGAGTGGGCTCTCCACTATTGGAACGCATTTAGTTGGAGCTATCATTCACAGTGGCCAAGCAGTCCATGGAAAAGAGATTTATGGCTCTTTTGACTACTACCAGTGGCCACATGATTCCAACTTGAACATGACTGTCCTTCTAAATGTGCTTTCAAAGTGGAGTGAGAAGTATAAGCTCCCTCCCATCCTTTACCTCCAAATGGATAATTGCTGGAGGGAAAATAAAAATCAATTTATGCTGGCACTACTTGGTTTAATGGTGCAAAACAAAGTATTTGAAAAGGTCAGTAACTACAACTTGTATGAAAATGTATAAAATATGAGCAGGAGACCTTTTATGGGCATTTAAAACAACGAGCTGCAAGCGAGCAGTTTTATAGCCCATAAAGGTCGGACGCGAATATTTTATATTGCTTATCAAATTCCAGCATAAGGTAAAGCATATTTCAAAAAAAAACTCAGGATAAAATATCATTTGTAAGATAAAATCGAAGTTAAAGTCGTATGCAAATCAGGACAAATCTCTTGATCATATAAAGATGCAGTCACTGCAATGATTTTCCATTGTGTTTACCTTATGAATTAGTGTTATGAATAAGTTACCTTATAAATAAATAAAAAAATAAATTAAATAAATTACCTTATGAATAATGCATATGGTAATTTATTTTATTTATTTATTTTTTTATTTATTAATAAGTGTAATTATTGTAATTCATTTTGAAATCAAGTCTCAATTTAGTCTTGAGTCAAATAACTTCAAGCAGTCCAATTAAATTCTGTGTTCAGTATTCATGCATGTATGTTAAATAATAACAATAGGGAATTTATCATTCTTTTAGATTATTTGAATTGTGAGTAAATGAAAAAAAAAAAACATTTGTGATGAATTGATTTTGAACTAGATCCGCCTCAATTTCCTTCCTGTTGGCCACACACATGAGGACATTGACGCCTTCTTTGGAGTCTTTTCAAAGCATTTAGCAAAATGTGATACCTATACAATTGAAGGTAATATGATTTTTTATATATTTTAGAGGAAATAATGTAATCTGTAATTAGACATTGTTGCTTTTTTCTATATCGTCTCTCTTAYTTTTTATCAATCAGTGCATGTGCAAATCTTCATTATGG